CCACCAGGTCTGGGACTCAAACTGCAGTCAACTATATGGGAGTGGAGTGAGGTAACCATTACTCCATCTGCTAATCTCCATATTTTTCTATTGGGAGCAAAGATTTCAGCCTTTTGAATGTGAATTAATTTACAGCATAATAGACTTATATTTTAAAGATTTTTTTCATAACAGTGAGAGACAAGAAGAGAGACACTCTCAACAGAGTGTCACCTGAGTCCCATCCCCCCAGCCTCCTGGCCAGCTTCCTTCCCTGTCAGGGCGAACAGGTGCACTGGAGAATGGCATCTACAATCACCATCTGGCATTGCCTCAGCAGCAGTAACCACCAAGCCAGCCCAGACACTGGGCATTTTAGAAGACCAAGGGACCCTGATTTTGGACACACTGACAACTTTAAAAGGGAAAGATATAAGGGGACAAGCAGATGATGTAATGGTAGCGTCAGAGGACTTCAATGTACGGTTTGAATCTGGGACCTGGCAACTTAAAATTCACACTGGGCGCGTGTGTGCATGCCCAAAATCCCAAGAGGAGAAAAGAGAAGGAACTGCAGCCTGGCCATCTTGCCTGGGGAGTGATTTCTCCCTGTCTATCTCCTGCCAGTGCAAACGCCCCACAGCAAAAATCTCTCTAAAAAAGGGGGGGGACGCCCTTTCCTCTCCCTCTGGAGGAAAATCTGTGTCAACTGACCTTTTCAGGACTGTAAATAACATCAATTCATTCACTTCAGAGGGCCCACCAGACACCAGGCTACTCTGCAGAAGGCCTAGGTGGAGCGCAAAACATGCAACTCTCATTTAAACGTGTAGAAAGAGCCTCAAGGCCGCCGGTGGGTGGGACGAATTAGTCGTCTGGAGGAGTGGAGTGGGTCCAGGAAGGTGAGTTTGCGCCAAACCTTGTTTAGTGAGTAGGATTTGGCCGGTGAAAACATGAGGGGAGGAATGCGCAGAGCAATCTGCTGGATGGAAATCTACACGTGCCCAAGAACTACAATCCTTCTGGTCTGCAGCTCCTCACTCCTACCCCACCCACTTTTCCTCACTTTCTTCTCAGTCTTTTCCCCTTTTTTGGAAAACTGAGGATGAGGACACTACGGATATCTCTTTTTCTGGAACGGACCAGTGTATGCCACTAAATAATATTGGTCCTGGATTAAATGAGATTACTCTGCTCTGGGTCTTCGAGAACACGGGGGTGGGGGCGTGGAGAGGGTGTCAGGTCGAGAAGTGGTCTTGGAAAAGGGAACACTGGAGAGAATGGGGAGAAACTGGGCCCCACCCAAAAAAAAAAAAAAAAAAAGAACATTTTTGTATCTTTCCCCCACGCTCTTGTTATCATTCCTCCTCTCTCACACACACCTGTATCTCTTATCTTTGTTTTTCTGTAGTTCCTTACGGTCTCAGTCTTTGTCTTTGTCTCTCTCCCTTTGCTTTAAAGGCTGGAAATTCCTTGTTCTCGACGGAAGGGAGTAGGAGGGGCGCTGGGGGTGGGAGAGGTGGGAGGGAAGCGAAGAACAGACATCTCAGCAGCTCCGGCTGCGGGGGCGCTCTGGGCCTCCGGCGCGGCCTCACAAGTCAATGATTTTTAAAATGTCTATTATTTCTAAATCCACACACAGGAGCTCAGCTACAAACCTAGAGAGAGACGGAGACACAGATATACAAGTCGATGTAAAGAAACATAGAAATAACGTGATTCCAGGGTCCAGCGTCGCACACTGGCAAAAGCGTCTCAAATGTGTTCAGCGTGCTAGCTACAAATGACTAGGAGTTTGCACATACATGCCTCCTCTGAAGCTCATGACAATCTTGAGGAACAGAGACAAACACCAGGTGGTTTCACTCTCTCTCACAGGTTCGCTCCCGGCCCCATCTGTCTCCCTCGGGGAGTGGGCAGGCCCCCTCCGCGGTCTCTGGGCAAGTACCCGCCCAGGACTGGGGAGTGGAGACTTGGAGACCTCAGAAGCGGCTCCTCCCTGGTGTTCATTCCCGGGCAGGGACCCAGGAGCCCGGCGCCCTGCAGGTTGCCACCCCCTAGCTTCACGCCCTACTCCGCCCCCCTCCTGGGGCGGGTGTCTCCTTCCAGATCCCAGGACTCAGCGCCGCCCTAAGGGGGCCGGGTGGGAGGGAGGGGGGCGCCGCGAGCAGAGGCTGCGTGGGCGGAGGATGTGCGTCACGGGGAGCGTGGGCCGGGGAGGGAGGGGGCACGTGAAAGGCGGGGGCCAGCGGCTGGCAGCCCAGGCTCCAAAATAACGCGAGCCGTGGGGGAGGGGCACTCATCCCCATAGAAAGGGTTCTGGGGGTGCCCCTGGTGGGAACCTGTCTGGCCGTGCCCCCCAGGTGCAGCACCGGAATTATGAGGGGGCTCCTACCGCACCCCGCAGACTGTTTGGCACGCAATGGGATAGAGAAGGGAATCTGAAATGCCCCCACCGGTCACACACCCCATTTTCCCTGCCCCCACCGGGGACGGAAAGGTCCCCTCGCCCGACCGGAATGTAGAACCAGCCCCAGCCCACGCCACCCACG